CACCGGGGAGTGGGTCCCCCCCAGCAGCCTCTGCAGCCCTCGGGCTGAGGAGAGGCCGGACCGCCAGGAATGCCCCCACCACCGCTTTTTCCCCACTGTCGAATCAACCGTGCACCCCACCGTGTCCCAGGGGACCCGCGGCCACCCCCACAGGACCAGAGCAGAGGAGCTCCCCTGACAGCCCTCCAGGCCTGGCTGAGCTCCAGGGCAGCCAGGCACAGGGTCTCGCTGGTCCCTGGGGAGTTGGTGGGCTCAGAGTGGTGGGTGGGGGGTCACATCAGCCTTGCATCCCAGCAGCGGTGCCAGGTCCATCAGAGCACTGGGGAGCATTGCTCACTGCCATGGTGAGCTGGCTTGGTCAAACCTTGCTGGTTTGACCCCATCAGTGGCACAGGCAGACCTGAGCCTGTAGGCTGGGGACAGGTGCCCTGAGAGAGTGACTCCTGGTCTGTGTTTCCTGTCTCCTGCCATGCCCTGGCAGATATTAGAGGCCAGGTTGCCCTCTCCCCCCACTGTGATTGCCTCCAGCATGGGGAGTCCCCAGGCAGGCAGCCCCACGTAGAACCCCCCATGTCCCATCCCCGGACCCAAAGCTCACAACCAAACCCCCCAGTGACAGCAACCCAGGCACATGGGCACCAGAATCCAAACCTGCTCCATCCCTCCATCCCACCCTGGCTGGGGCAGGGTGCTGGTGGGCACTCACTGGGCTTGTCTGGGTGCTGCTGGAGTTTCCCTGCTCATGTCACCCATTGCCATTTTCAAGCTTTTTATACTCCTTCAGGATTTTGCCTGGATTTTGAGGCCTGAAGGTTTACCCTGCCCAGACCTGCTTGCTGACCCTCCATCCCCACTGCAGTGACGACCCAGCCAACAAGGGGTCTGTGTCATCCTGGGGCTGTGCCCTGACCTCACACCCACACTGTGCTCACACCATGGCTGTCCTCTGGCCCCTCCATCAGTGGGATGAACACAAAAACTGGACTTCACATATTTCACAGCTCCATTGGGCCTTATGCAGCCCTGAGATGATCTGCTCACCCAGGCAAGGATGCTAAAAGTCTCACCCACATGCCTGGCCTGGCAGAGATGACCAAAGCCCCCCAGGCAGAGCAGTGCCCCGGTGTCCTGAGGGCTCAGCTGTACTTCATCCTCAGGCTGGACCGACCCCAGAGTGTGGTACCCCGGAGACCATGCAGTGTCACCCACCAGCTGCCTCTGCCTGGAAATCCATGTTTGCTTGTTGACAGTGTTTACTGGTTGTGTTTTTAATCCTCAAGTTTCTCTCCCTGGATAAGAGATTTTCTAATGACTTTGCCTCTAGTCCCTCTAAATGCCATTCTTTGATCTGCTCACCTGCCCAAATCTGTGAGGCTGCTGCTGTCTCGCACCCTAACACTGCTAAACAGGGATTCCCTTAATCTTCCCTATCCTCCCTGTGTCAGTTTTTCCTGACTTCCCTGCTAATGTGCCTGGATGCAGACAGCAAGAACCAATATATTACGCTTGAGCTCACTGAGAAAAGGAAATTGCAGGAAGTGAGTGAGCACGAGCCATTTTCTGTTATTAATTCATATGGCATCCCCGTGCTGACCCAGCTACACGGTGTTATTATGCTGCTACTCCATGAGTTAAGTAACAGCTCTATTTAAAAATAATCATAAATTACATTGGGCATCTTTTCTGCTGAATAAGAGTGTGTTTGTGCCAAGGTGCTGGGATCCTCCTGTTGCCCCAATGGCTCTGCCTCTGCTTTGTATGCTCGATGCAGAGCTTTCCCTTTTCTCTGCTGAGTTCATTCACCAATATCTCTGCTTTCTACCCAAACTGAAAATAATATCATCCTTTAAACCCCAGACCCTTCATCTCTGTCTGGACCTGGATGGCTGTGGATTTGAGTGATATCCCTACCAAATCTCAGCCTCTGTGACCAAGCTCTAACATTTGTCTTTGGGTCTTGTCTCTTGTTCTTGGATTTAACACCTAACTTTGTCATGTACACATATATGCAGCATTATCTGCATATAAATGTACATACTTTGGCTGCATGTGAATATCCTCAGAATGCCTTCTGAGCTGTGCTGATGTGATATGGCATCCTCTCTGGGCTTTTACAAGTGGCACTGATGTATTTTACCATTTTCAGAGACCTTCTCAGCAGGCCAAGCATGCCTTTGGGTTCAGAGGGAGCTCCTCAGTTCTAGTGTACCTGCTGTCCTCAGGTCCTCTGTCGAGCTCTCCTTGGGCAGACACACAGGAGCAGCTTTGCCTGTGGGTTCACTTCATGCGTCCCAAATGATTGTTTTGTTGTTTATAATCAAGAGGTTATTATTGTAATTATGTTGGTCTTGGGACCACACCGCACAAAACCACAGTTTCTTTCTGCCAAACTCATACATTACCAGTGTCACAAATGGATCAGTTCCGAACCTTTGCTTTAGAGGTGTGCTGGGAACTGTAACACCACTGGCCAGTCCCTGCTGAGATGAACGATGATGCCAGAAAGTCATTTGACCCTAAATTTCTTCCTCACCATCTGCATCAGTCATCATCTACTCAGTCATCCAGCTGTATGCTCAGGATTTTACTGCCCTTTGGATTTATAATGCCTGCAGGGAAGGACCTCTTCTAACAGGACGGCCCTGTCCTTGGTCAGTGTTGACCCTGTGCTGTGACGACACCCGTGTCTTTGTTTTCCACTCAACCCCAGTGAGCTGACAGCCCCGTGTGTGCCCAACCTTCCTGCCCCCCATCCCACATCCCATCCACGCTGTCTGTGCTCCTGGCAGCTCCTGGAGTGCCCTTTGCAGTGACCCACATCACCTTTATTTACTCCTTGCTGCTCTCCTTACTGAGTTCCTTTGCCCGGGTCCTGCACACATAAACAACTCTTTCCAAAATCCAGTCTGTTTCTCACACCAATCTTGTTTTGCACTGGTGAATCACTCATCACATAGATAATTCACCCACAAAAAAATGAGCTCATCCTCAGCCTTCCAGAGAGCAGCTTTACCAGCAGGCCCTTGCGGGGCAGCACCGGCGCCGGCGCCGGAGGGACAGCCCAGCCTGGGGCGGCTGGGAGAGGTGGCTGCAATGCCCAT